TAGTAGCCAGAATGCACTTCTGGGCCTACTATGCAAGGCCCGATTTGCCTAATAAGCCAAGTTTTCCTGAATTAATATATTTTCTCTAATTTTTTTCCTATGAAATGATAAAGCTACCCATTTCATTATGTATGAGGTATTTTTTTTTTATTGGAATTAAAATTAATGTAGATATATGACCGAACCTAACCAACCCTACTTAACCTAACCTAACCTATCTTTATAGGTTAGGTTAGGTTAGCTAGCCGAAAAAGTTAGGTTAGGTTAGGTTAGGTAGGTTTGGTAGTCGATAAACAATTAATTCATGAAAACTTGGCTTATTATGCCAAGTTTTCCAAGTATATATATGCGAAGAAGCCTGAATGGTCCCCAGGACTATATGCAACTGAAAACTCACACCCGAGAAGTGACTCGAACCCATACTGCCTGGAGCAACGCAACTGGAATGTACAGGATGCCTTAATCCACTTGACTATCACGACCGGACAAAAACTGATGGTTATCTTGAGGTTATCTTGAGATGATTTCGGGGCTTTAGTGTCCCCGCGGCCCGGTCCTCGACCAGGCCTCCACCCCCAGGAAGCAGCCCGTGACAGCTGACTAACTCCCAGGTACCTATTTACTGCTAGGTAACAGGGGCATTCAAGGTGAAAGAAACATTGCCCATTTGTTTCTGCCTCGTGCGGGAATCGAACCCACACTTGGCTACGATGGTAGCCAAGGCTATTTAGCCCTTCAGCCCGCGGGCACTCTGATGGTAATCTTGGGCATAGCATTTTATCAAATCACCTCATTCCTTGGGGCACATGTGAGGAACACAAATATGAATAAGACTGAATGGTCCCCAGGACTATATGCCACTGAAAACTCACACCCCATAATTGACTCCAACTCATACTGCTAGGAGCAACGCAACTGGTATGTACAGGACGCCTTAATCCACATGACCAACGCTACCAGTTGCGTTGCTCCTGGCAGTATGGGTTCGAGTCACATGTGGGGTGTGAGTTTTCAGTTGCATATAGTCCTGGGGACCATTCAGGCTTGTTCGCATTTGTGTTCCTCACGTGTGCCCCAAAGAATGAGGTGATTTGATAAAATGCTCTGCCCAAGATTACCATCAGAGTGCCGGCGGGCTGATGGGTTAAATAGCCTCGGCTACCATCAGTTTTTGTCCGGTTGTGATGGTCAATGGTTATGCATTGACATAAGGTTTCGGTGCTGTGGTGATGTCGATCTGTGAGAATGTCGAGGTGTTGGTCGATGCGAGTACGCCAAGATTTGATTCGACATCAGATACTTAAGGCAGAAAATGAGATCAAAGACAACAAAACGCAACTACTCCACGCTGCAAACCAATGGAGGAACAGCAACATCGACGAAGACCTCCGTACTCGCATGGACCAACACCTCGACATCCTCACAGATTGACATCACCACAGCACCGAAACCAGGATCATCAAGAAACTGACAACACTCCACTCCTGCGAGAGACTTGAACCTGTGTTCGCGCACTTCTCCGGCTCTGTCTTTGACTTGACCAATCAGAGAGCAAGGTGGGAAGCAGCCTATGGTACCTGCACCACTTACAGAGCTTCCTCTCGTCACATGACCTTGGGCTGGCATCATGGCCTCCCAGTAGGAGCCAGACCGTGAGGACCATTGGTCCTCCCCTCTTGACCCTCTAAAGCTTCACCCTGCACCTTACTGTACACACTTTAATGTAAAACATGATAATGTTTTATCATTAACAATGTACCTTTACTCATAGTGTGGCTACGACGGCCATCGTAGCCTCACTGGAAACCTGAGAGCCTACGCCACACATAAACTCTAAACACGAGATGTTTCTTGAAATAATTACGGATTCTAGAACCAATGCAGCCTGGTGCACTCCTGTCCTAATGTGCACTCTAGCACATAGTTCAAAAGTTAGCTAGGAAAACTGTTCTCCCAAATACATACTTTTGAGTTGGCCACGTGAGCTGTCATCAATCATCTGAATTCTTGTATTATGGGGATGGGGTGCTGGGCTGCTAGGGAGTCATGGGAGTTATCATGGCTGAAGGTGGTGTGGTCTGTTCACATAATTGGAAGGGAGGGCGGTCTCTCGTTCAGTGGAGGCGGCAGTGGAGATGCTGTCCAAGAGGATCGTGACGATTTAAAGCGGGCACTTATAGTGAATTGTCGGATTCTTTCTAAGGACTTGTATTTAGCTTATTTTATTTCTTTGAGAAGGGAACATCCGCTGAATTTTGGGAGGATTGTGTATCGTTGTGTGGTGAGGCTGCTACCACCCGGTTTGGTAGTCCTCCTTGTGTCAGGGTCTGGAGGAGGGTGGGATTGGTCTGGTAAATGCGTGTATGTGAAGTCGATGGATGATATTTTTGGGTGACCTTTCGTAGGAGGCTCGCGTTGGAGGATGGTCTCATTTCCTTGTCTATGTTTTTCAGTTCAATTCGGGTGCATTATCTTATGGGGGTACAGTCTGTCGGGACGGGATCTTACAGTCTTTCGTCACCACACCGGTGTACTTCTATATGGTACTCATTCTTCGGTCACTGAATGACCGAAGGTCTCAGGTCTCCTGAGTATATGTCAGGAGGTGTATCGGGTGTTTTTAGGTCGTGTGGCTCACACAGTGGAAGGGTTGTACCCGTTATTTGACTGGGGGGAGGTGTGGGGTGCTCTGAGGGACCTGTTTCTCGCCCCTAAACAAAGGGAGTTGATGTATTGATTTCTTCATGAGACTAGCTATCAATGCGCGGTTGTTTATGATAGGTATTGTGGGCTCGGATTGTTGTGCCTATTGTGGTGAGAGTGAGTTCGAACTTCATGAGTTTTAGTTTTCTCAGCGGGTTTCATGTTTGGTGGACTGGCTTCGGGGTACCTTATGTGGGTCTGATTTGCAGGGAGATTTGCTGAAGTTTTCTTATTGTCGTTTCCGAGGGAAATTTATGGAATTCTAAACACTTGAAGAGTGTTGGTGTCAGATTACATTATTTGTTTGGGGGTTAGTAGGTTAGAAGGGTATGGTGTGGTGTGGCTCAGCTATTGGGGTTCTTGAAAGGTAGGCTGCAAAACACGATGCGGTGGATGCTGCGGTAGTTTCTGAGGATACTTGCTCGATGGTTCACGGCAGATTATATTGCTGCTGCTCAAGTGTTGTAGGGTTTAGCTGGCGGCGACGTTAGTCGTTGTTCTGTAATCTCGGGCGTGAGTTGGGGGCTGCATCTCAACCTTTGATTGATTGTGTGTGTGTTCTAATCTTCTGTTGATTTGTTTGGATGTTTGAGTGAGTTGGCTGAGTGTGGTTTTTATTATACTGGTCTGTTTTTTTGGCCCGTGAGTTGGACGACCAGCCTTCCTTGTCCTGCTGTTAGGCGGTGTCCAACGTTGCCTTCAGTATTGCCATGAATTTTTCTTTTCCAATGTGCTGTCTTTTTCCTTGGTATATGGGGCCTTTAGTGTGAGTGCGTTTTTTTTGCAAGGTTCGGAGGTGTCTACCCCTCCTTGCTAACTGCGACTGAGCTGGGTATGTTTTGTATGAATTGTGCAGTTCTTACCTTGGAATATGTTCATTCCGGTCGTGTGTATGCGTGTGCCTCTTCCCTCTGACCGTGGTCAGTTGTATTGTTGTTTTCATATGATTAAGTTATACTTCTTTTGAAGTTTCACTTTTCGTGCTTTGTGCACTCGTGAATACTCCTTGAACAGTTGCTTGGAGCCTTCGACCTTGATTTATATTAGCTGGTGTCCACCTCCATGAACTGGACTGCTGCTTCTTGCTGGAGAGACAAGTGATGCGTCCTTCTCCGACGAACACGAGGAGGGCAGTTACGTTTACCGACTCTCACGCTCACGACGCGGGCGGTGGTGTCATATCACGCGATGGAGTGTTCTAATGAGCCGCGCTGCTGGTGGCTACCCAATCACAACTCCAAGTTTCTTGGAGACTCAGTGCTCCTGCTTCCGGTTTGCTTAGGATGGCTCACATACTCCTACCTGGGTGTGTCAGCCATCTTGCCTTCCCGGTTGGGCATTTAATTCACCTTCACCCAACATGTAACCAACATAACATAAAATTTGGGTTCATTCTTTTCTTTATACGTAACGAAATTAGATTATTATTCCCTTTTCCAAATTCCCATATTAAGGGGCTTGTGGATTATTTATAGGGGAGAAAGATTTTATAGACAAGAGAAGAGTATATCTTGCTGTAACACATACCAGTATAGAACAACATTTACCCTTTTATTATAGCATGGTGCAGATGTGACAACATTACCAATTACATCATAGTAAGATGCACATGTGACAACATTACAACTTACATCATAGAACGGTGCACATGTGACAACATTACAACTAACATCATAGTAGAGTGCATATGTGACAATAATCGCCACCGTTGCTATTTTAATTTTGATTTTCACACAAAAATTCATTGACCTTCACTATGAGACATCTTTCATTGCGCTTCACCATTTTTCATTAACAAGAATTCTCATTTATTTATTTAACGTCTTATCATTCTGGTTGTTTCAACATTAACTCCATTCCAATCTTCATTATAATTTTAATTTATAACTATCAAGCATTAACCTATTGCATCACTTTTATCTTCCATTATTTTGAACTTTCGCCGTTGCAGACTTCTTCTGTTCTTGATTCATCTCACAGTTCACACACCTGCATGAATCTGTCCTAATTTAATGGGCCAAGGCAGGTATGGACCCCAGATCCACGTCGTCTTTTACCTGAATTTCGATTAATTTTTGGGAGAAGTGTTCTCCGCCTTTCCTCCCCACGTTCCTCCCATCAATAATAACCCAGGAGAGTCAGAACTAGTTGCATCACTGGAGTTTAATTCATCGATTGAAGCACGTCTGTTGAACCCTGGCCACTAATCGAGTGTCATTCATTGCTTCATGCTTCATTCATATTAATCCATAACGAAATTAACCATAATTAGCCATAAGTTATATATTATATTCCAGTGCTGACGGACAGATTAATTGTGGCCCAGAGTGTGTTGTTCCTGGTCGCCGGCTACGACACAACAGCTTCCACTCTGGCCATGACGTCCTTTCTGCTGGCTAAGAACCCCATACACCAGCAACGTCTCCGCCAGGAGATGCAGCAGATAGTTGAGGAACATGGCAACATTACCTACCACAGCATCATGGAAGCCAAGTTTCTCGACGCTTGTCTCATGGGTGAGCTGAAGCTTCTTTTGAATGTTGTTGGAGTCAGTCCATCCTCTTGTTTTGATAATATTTATAGTAACCATTTGGATCATCGTACCTACGTTTGCATAACGGAGAATTAGAAAGTAGAACGTGGTATTATTTTATTTGAAAAAACAGGAAAAGGTTTTGTATTTATGTTGCTAATAAAACGTAACCTTATCTAAACATCACAGGCCTAATACACGCTATCAGAGGCCTAATATAGTACATATATAGCATATGATATATTCCTAAGCCTAGGAATATTTACTTTTTTTAGCTTAATTTTTTCCAGACTCAATAAAAGGAATAGAACCAAATTATACTAACTAATTGTACATTCTATCAATATATATATATATATATATATATATATATATATATATATATATATATATATATATATATATATATTTATATATATATATATATATATATAATATATATAATATAATATATATATATATATAATATTTTTTTTTTTTTTTAATTTGTGAGGGGTACCACACCTCTGGTGCCAATGTGGGGACCCATAGCCTCGGAGAAGAAAATACAAGTACTCAGAGGAGACCTTGTGGTTTCTCACTGAACACTAATATTATCTTCTCCTACCACCCCCATTCTTTTGTATGTACGCATATATATTTGCTTTATTTGAACTTTGTTACAAAAAAGGAGTTACGTATAGGTTACAAAGATGGTTATCATAGGTTGTCGAGTTCCTCCAGCTCCCAGATGGCGGGCAGGAACCCTGAATGCAGTGCGCATTTCCCCTCTGTTCGCCCACGCTGAGGCGCTGGAAAAGAAAGCTGGCAGCTCTAGGGTCCCTGTGGTTTCAATGAGCCTATCCCAGTTCCTTCAAAAAGCTGGTATCACTTTTACACCCCAGGCGCTGAGGGTCTCAGAAGCAATGGGGACAAAATTGTAGTGGTGATCCAGTTCTCTATACTTATGGGATTTGGCTGCTTCCCTGTGGGTGGCAGCGCCACCTGGTTGTGTCAACACTGAGGTTAATGTAGTGTTAGCCAGGGTTGATATGCATGTGTAGTCCCATACACCCACTGCTTGCCATTCTTCCAGGGGTTCACTGTGATACCATCCGGGCGACCAATAAGAGCATCAGATGTTACGGGGCGTTAGGTAACGGGGCTCTCTTTCAGCTGGGCATCCAGCTGTGGTGAGGCTCCTCTTGATGATGTCGTTAACTTCAATGTGCCTCGAGTGCCATCCCCCTGTGCTTTGGCAGAGTAGGCCATGGTGGCCGTACCTGTCAGCCACCACCTCGCCGCAAATACACCTATATCTGGTGTGGATTGGGGCAGCAAGGCGAAGGGCCACAACAATTCGGAGGGCGTGTGGTGTGAGACGCGTGCCAGTTGCAGACATTGGGGTTGCTAACAGGAAATCCCCTGCATGTGGGGCTGCTACTGCTGTGAGGCGAGCAATGTCGTGTTGTGTTGTTGCAGCACCCAGGTACTCTGCAGCAACTTGGTCTACAATAGGGCCATCCCAGCTGGATTGCTTGTGGGCTTTTGGGGATAGTGGTTGAAGTGATGGGCCTGCACGAGAGGCCCACTCTGTGGCACAGCGTGTAAAATTGGGATCATGTACACCTGCCAGCTGATGTAAGTTGGCAGGTAGAATTTCCTTCACAAGGTCGTCGGATGCTGATAAGGAGGACAGGAAGGCTGGAACAGCGATTTGCGTTGCTGTTCGAACTCCGAGGCCCCCAAGTCTTACGGGAAGAGAGGCTTGTTTCCACTGTAGGTCATCAAGAGAGAGGTTAAGGGCTTTTTCTAGCATTGATTTCAGTAACCGGTCATACTCACTTAGTTTTTGGCTACTGTAAGATGGTGAACACCTCAGAAAATAGGTTAACCTGGGGAGGGACAGACATCTGGTGATGAGGTAGAGTGCATCATGAGCATCAATATCCTCAATTCTCCCATCCATCCTCTTAAGGTCGGCGATTTTCTTATCAAGGACCTCATCGATGGCTTTCAACCCCAGGGGAGCTCCTAGGAGTGTCCTATCTTTATAGGTTGGGTTAAGTTTGGTAGCCGAAAAAGTTAGGTTAGGTTAGGTAGGTTAGTTAGTCGAAAAATAATTAATTCATGAAAACTTGGCTTATTAGGCAAATTGGGCCTTGCATAGTAGGCAGAGAAGTGCGTTCTGGCTACTAGGTGCGACATATATTTATATATATATATATATATATATATATATATATATATAATGGTTTCCATAGTTACAAAAAGTACTTTCTAAACAGGAGGGTGTGTTGCTGGAGTTCGGATGCTAAGTTACACTTGTTTGAGCGAGGATGGATGCTTGTTTTGTTAGTTTATAGTTCTTTTAGAATTATTTTTATTTCCATGTCTTTTACCATCCAATTTATTGAGTTGCGTAATTTCATATTTCTCTTTTATGTTTATCAGCTTTAGTTAGTTTTTCGGTTATATTTTTAACTATTGATTTGAACGAAGTTGTTTCCCATATGGAACTTTTTAAATTAAGCAATACTAAATGTTTGCATGGTAGCAACAGCTATCGAGTTTTGTATCAACCGTTCATGGATATATTGACAACAAATATTGGGCCACATCTGCATCGGACACCTTAATAGAAACAGCCAAGGAGCTCAATGACCTCGATCTATATGTCCATTAATTTATACAATAATATGAGATGTTTAATAGTGGAATCATTAACTGAAATAACGTCTTTAACATCATGATTTTGTTTAAATTATATATTTGCAATATTCACTATATTTAGAGCCAAGTATGCAGGTTTAGAAAGAACTGTGAGATTTCCCTTGGTGATTTGTTATAAAGTGAGCCAGCTGTTTTGCTTCATCTGGTCATGGTGCCTTTTGCAGGATTTAGTTTTTTATTTAAATATAGAATATCGGGATTTTGAGTTCAAGATAGTATAGGAACTCAAACATGGAACTTTTAGTAGGATAAAATGTAACAACCACAACCTAATATACTGCCACAGTTAAAATATCAATACTAAATATTTTTTTATCTGTTATCGCAATATCAGAGTCTAAACGAAATAGAGCAGTTCATGAATTACCAAAAGGAGAGCGTTCACTAATACATTACAATAATCTACGGATGCTGAAAAGGTCTATTATCCAAGAATGGTTAAAAATCCTTACTAAGAATTACCGGAACCTATTAAAAGATTAAAAAAAAACTTCTCTGTGTTATGAATTGAGAAGTAAGAAAAATTAAATTCTGGTTGCTGGAGTGGGAATAAATCTGAACACTGTGTATGCAGAAAGCCAGAATTTCATTCTAGTGAAGAATTTTCATCCATCCTGTGGTGATTGTCTTTTGATCTTTTTTGTTTTAATTAACTGATCGAGAAAATTTTATTGAGAATTTCTCATAAATGACTGTAAAACACGACTCATCTGCCTTAAAAAGGAGATTGTACTAAGTTTACATGGATTTTTTTTCTTAATATGTAAGTTATTAAGGTGCTGAGAGAGGTTGTTATTGATATGAAAGAATACGAATCATATTCATCAACTATTAATTACATTTATTTCAGAATCGTTGAGAATGTACCCTCCTGCAACTTTTATAGAACGGCAGTGCACCAAAACCTACAAGTATGTGTTACTTTAGTTATAATATAATATATATACACAAAAAAATTAATATGAAATTAAATTCATTCTTTCATTACTTTTAGACCCAGAAAAGTATTATGTCAGAGCCCATAAACCTCTGAAGAGACAACAAACACAACACCTATACCCCCTATTAGACTATTTTACAGGAACTTCTTTTCCACAGCTCATAAAACGGAGGAAAGGGTCCTGAAAGATATTGTTAATAGAAACGTTATCCCTACAGACAAAAATCAGAGGATACAACTGACGATTTACTATAAAACCAGAAAAACGGCCAGCCTACTCATGAGAAACTCTCCAGACACAAAACAGAACGCTTTAAAAGAGACCAACGTCGTCTATGCCTTCAAATGCCCTCCTGGGGACTGTAAGCTCCAAAAAACCCAGTATATAGGCAAGACAACAACATCTCTTTCTAGGCGTTTAACGATGCATAAGCAACAGGGCTCCATTAAGGAACATCCCAGCAAACAATTTTAGGTTGCCAAAACATATCTGGAAAGTATTTGAAAGTATTGGAAACGTTTGTTTTATCGTATCAGATACGATATTGTGTGTGGACTTAAATAGGTTTCCAAAACTTATAACCAAGACATATGTATCTAACACTAATTTGAGATGTTGTGGCAACTTTACACTCCTAACATGAGTCATTCATAATCCATTCATATACCAATATGAATCTCTTATGAAAGGTTTGAGCCAATAATCTGAACCCTTTTCACATCTTTGTGTTTAAAGTTCAATTTCTTGAAAATAAATTATATTTTATATTATATTATTTTTATTATATTTTATATTATATTATTATTTTCAATTTAAATATTAAAACCAATTGAAGGGTAAAAAAATCTAATAATTTATATTTCTTTTATTATTTACTAACAATTATAATTATTTACTAACGGAGAGAGGGGAGGCTGTACGGCGGAGAGTGGCGGCTGTGGCGGACAGTGGCGGCGGTGGCGGATAGTGGCGGCGGGCGGACAGTGGCGGCGGGCAGACAGTGGCGGCGGCGGGCGGACAGTGGCGGCGGTGGCGGATAGTGGCGGCGGTGGCGGATAGTGGCGGCGGGCGGACAGTGGCGGCGGGCGGACAGTGGCGGCGGTGGCGGATAGTGGCGGCTGTGGCGGATAGTGGCGGCGGGCGGACCGTGGCGGCTTTGGCGGCGGTGGTGGACAGTGGCGGCGGCGGTGGTGGACAGTGGCGGCGGGGGCGGACAGTGGCGGCGGCGGGCGGACAGTGGCGGCGGCGGGCGGACAGTGGCGACGGCGGGCAGACAGGTGCGGCGGCGGGCGGACAGTGGCGGCGGCGGGCGGACAGTGGTGGCGGCGGGCGGACAGTGGAGGCGGGCGGGCGGACAGTGGTGGCGGCGGGCGGACAGTGGTGGCGGCGGGCGGACAGTGGTGGCGGCGTGCGGACAGTGGTGGCGGTGGCAGACAGTGGTGGCGGTGGCAGACAGTGGTGGCGGTGGCGGACAGTGGTGGCGGTGGCGGATAGTGGCGGCGGGCGGACAGTGGCGTCGAGCGGACAGTGGCGGCGGCGGGCGGACAGTGGCGTCGAGCGGACAGTGGCGGCGGCGGGCGGACAGTGGTGGCGGTGGCAGACAGTGGTGGCGGTGGCAGACAGTGGTGGCGGTGGCAGACAGTGGTGGCGGTGGCGGACAGTGGTGGCGGTGGCGGATAGTGGCGGTGGGCGGACAGTGGCGGCTGTGGCGGATAGTGGCGGCGGGCGGACCGTGGCGGCTTTGGCGGCGGTGGTGGACAGTGGCGGCGGCGGTGGTGGACAGTGGCGGCGGGCGGACAGTGGCGGCGGCGGGCGGACAATGGCGGCGGCGGGCGGACAGTGGCGGCGGCGGGCAGACAGTGGCGGCGGCGGGCGGACAGTGGCGGCGGCGGGCGGACAGTGGTGGCGGCGGGCGGACAGTGGTGGCGGTTGGCAGACAGTGGTGGCGGTGGCAGACAGTGGTGGCGGTGGTGGCGGTGGCGGATAGTGGCAGCGGGCGGACAGTGGCGGCGGTGGCGGATAGTGGCGGCGGCGGACAGTGGCGTCGGGCGGACAGTGGCGGCGGTGGCGGATAGTGGCGGCGGGCGGACAGTGGCGGCAGTGGCGGATAGTGGCGGCGGGCGGACAGGGCGGCGGCGGGCGGACAGTGGCGGCGGGCGGACAGTGGCGGCGGGAGGACAGTGGCGGCGGTGGCGGATAGTGGCGGCGGGCGGACAGTGGCGGCGGGCGGACAGGGGCGGCTGTGGCGGCTAGTGGCGGCGGGCGGACCGTGGCGGCTTTGGCGGCGGTGGTGGACAGTGGCGGCGGCGGGCGGACTGTGGCGGCGGCGGGCGGACAGTGGCGGCGGCGGGCGGACAGTGGCGGCGGCGGGCGGACAGTGGTGGCGGCGGGCGAACAGTGGCGGCGGCGGGCGGACAGCGGTGGCGGCGGGCGGACAGTGGAAGCGGCGGGCGGACAGTGGAGGCGGCGGGCGGACAGTGGAGGCGGCGGGCGGACAGTGGTGGCGGCGGGCGGACAGTGGTGGCGGCGGGCGGACAGTGGTGGCGGCGGGCGGACAGTGGTGGCGGCGGGCGGACAGTGGTGGCGGTGGCAGACAGTGGTGGCGGTGGCGGACAGTGGCGGACAGTGGCGGCGGTGGCGGACAGTGACGGCGGTGGCGGACAGTGGCGGCGGTGGCGGACAGTGGCGGCGGTGGCGGACACTGGCGGCTGTGTCTGGCGGTGGTGGCGGGCGGTGGCGGGTGGCGGCGTCTGTGATGAGTGGTGGCGGCTGGCGGTGGTGGGTGGTGGCGGCGGTGGTGGTGGGGGTGGTGGTGGCGGCGGCGGCTGGTGGTGGTGGGTGGTGGCGGCGGTGGTGGTGGGTGGTGGTGGCGGCGGCGGCTGGTGGTGGTGGTGGGTGGTGGCGGCGGTGGTGGTGGGTGGCGGCGGCAGCTGGTGGTGGTGGGTGGTGGCAGCGGGTGGTGGCGGCTGTGGTGGGTGGTGGCGGGCGGTGGCGGGCGGTGGCGGGCGGTGGCGGGCGGCGGCGGCTGTGGTGGATGGTGACGATCGGCGGTGGGGGGGGGGCCGGTGGCGGCTGGCAGTGCCGGCTTGCGGTGGCGACTGTGGCAACGGGCGGTGACGGCTGATTGCGGGCGGTGGTGGCGGCTGATGGCAGGTGGTGGTGGCGGTGGTGGCGGCTGGTGGTGGCGGCTGGTGGTGGTGGCAGCTGGTGGCGGTCATGGCGGCTGGTGGTGGTGGCAGCTGGTGGCGGTCATGGCGGCTGGTGGTGGTGGCAGCTGGTGGCGGTGATGGCGGCTGGTGTGGTGGTGGTGGCGGCTGGTGGTGGTGGCAGCTGGTGGCGGTGATGGTGGCTGGTGGTGGTGGCAGCTGGTGGCGGTGATGGCGGCTGGTGGTGGTGTGGTGGTGGCGGCTGGTGGTGGTGGCAGCTGGTGGCGGCTGGTGGCGGTGATGGCGGCTGGTGGTGGTGGTGGTGGTGATGGCGGCTGGTGGCGGGCGGTGGCGGCTTGTGGCGGCTGGTGTGGCGGCGGTGGTGGGTGGTGGTGGTGGTGGTGGGTGGTGGTGGTGGTGGCTGTGGTGGTGGTGGCGGTGGTGTCGGCGGCGGCTGTGGTGGGCGGCGGCGGCGGTGATGGGTGGTGGCGGCGGCGGTGGTGGTGGGTGGTGGTGGCGGCAGCGGTGGATGGGTGGTGGCGGCGGTGGTGGCTGGGTGGTGGTGGCGGCGGCGGTGATGGGTGGTGGCGGCGGCGGGCGGCGGTGGTGGTGGGTGGTGGTGGCGGCGGCGGTGATGGTGGTGGCGGCGGCGGTGGTGGTGGGTGGTGGTGGCGGCGGCGGTGATGGGTGGTGGCGGCGGTGGTGGTGGTGGGTGGTGGTGGCGGCGGCGGCTGCTGGTGGTGTTGGTGGTGGGTGGCGGGTGGCGGGTGGTGGGTGGCGGTGGCTGGTGGCGGGGGGTGGCGGCTGGTGGTGCCGGCGGGTGGTGAGTGGCGGTGGTGGGTGGCGGTGGCTGGTGGCGGGTGGCGGGTGGCGGCGGGTGGCGGCTGGTGGTGGGTGGTGGCGGGTGGCGGCGGGTGGTGGGTGGTGGCGGGTGGCGGCTGGTGGTGGGTGGCGGGTGGTGGCGGCGGGTGGTGAGTGGCGGTGGCTGGTGGCGGGTGGCGGCGGGTGGCGGCTGGTGTGGGTGGTGGCGGGTGGCGGCTGGTGGTGGCGGGTGGCGGCTGGTGGTGGGTGGTGGCAGGTGGCGGCTGGTGGTGGGTGGTGGCGGGTGGCGGCTGGTGGTGGGTGGCGGGTGGCGGCGGGTGGCGGCTTGTGGTGGATGGTGGCGGGTGGCGGCTGGTGGTGGGTGGCGGCTGGTGGTGGGTGGTGGCGGGTGGCGGCTGGTGGTGGGCGGCGGGTGGCGGCGGGTGGCGGCTGGTGGCGGCCAGCTGGGACACACCCTTCACCACTGAAGGTCTGAGTACAACTAACCATGTCTCTCTCACCCACCAGCCCAGTGTTGCCAGCTCGCGCTCTCAAAATGTTTCCTTCAAAGATTGTATATTATCTTTGAACAACAAGTTTGATTATCAAGGAAATAATGCATATATTATTGTCACATGAATACTGTGCAATATCTTATTACATTCCTGCTAAATAATTATAATTTGAAACAGGACAAAAAATCCAACATATATATAAAAAACCAACATTAGAGATCACGAGGCCTAGGCCTCGCCTGTGACCACACATCCTGCCTCCCTGGCCTGCTACCCTCTCACACCTCACACTCTTAACTCTCTCATAATCACTCTCACTCTCTTACTCTGTCACTCTTACTCTCTGTCACTCTTACTCTCTGTCACTCTTACTCTCTGTCACTCTTACTCTCTGTCACTCTTACTCTGTCACTCTTACTCTCTGTCACTCTTACTCTCTGTCACTCTTACTCTCTCTGTCACTCTTACTCTCTGTCACTCTTACTCTGTCACTCTTACTCTCTGTCACTCTTACTCTCTGTCACTCTTACTCTCTGTCACTCTTACTCTCTGTCACTCTTACTCTGTCACTCTTACTCTCACTCTTACTCTCTGTCACTCTTACTCTCTGTCACTCTTACTCTCTGTCACTCTTACTCTCTGTCACTCTTACTCTCTGTCACTCTTACTCTGTCACTCTTACTCTCTGTCACTCTTACTCTCTGTCACTCTTACTCTCTGTCATTCTTACTCACTCTCAGTCACCCTTACCCATTCATACTCACTCTCTCACTCTTACTCTCATACTCTTACTCTCAATTAGAATTATTAATCTTACTTTTTCGGTCATATTAATAAAATATGTCTACAGGAAAGATTGCTACCAAAATATACTAATATATATATATATATATATATATATATATATATATATATATATATATATATATATATATATATATATATATATATATATATATATATATATATATATTATATAAGCCTATACTTGCATAAACCACAAGTGAAGATTAACAATCTTTGGACACACCCACCCCACCCAGTGGGCCTCGAACCCAGAAACCACACTACCTTCCGGTAGCTGCTATAACTAGTACGCCTTAACCCACTACACCATCAGACCCTACAAAGAAGTAGAGACTTCGAGATATATCTACACCTCAAATATCTCCACTTCCCGAGGGCACTAGACAAGTGAGAGGTTACTACGCGTTTTTCATCAAGCCACTATTAATGTGAGAGAACTCGTGTCCATGCTATAAGCCTATACTCTCACTTGTCTAGTGCCATCGGGAAGTAGAGATATTTGAGGTGTATATATATCTCGAAGTCTCTACTTCTTTTGTAGGGTCTGATGGTGTAGTGGGTTAAGGCGTACTAGTTATGGCAGCTACTGAAGGTAGTTGTGCTTTCTGGGTTCGAGGCCCACTGGTGGGTGTTGTCCAAAGATTATATATATATATATATATATATATATATATTATATATATATATATATATATAGATATATATATGCGAACAAGCCTGATGATGGTCCCCAGGACTATATGCGAATGAAAACTCACACCCCAGAAGTGACTCGAACCCATACTCCCAGAAGCAACGCAACTGGTAACTACAGGGCGCCTTAATCCGCTTGACCATCACGGCCGTCAAAAGGAAGTGATAGCCGAGGCTATTTGAGCCACTTCCCCGACGGCAACTCGGATGGTAATCTTGGGCATAGCATTTCACCAAATCACCTCATTCTTTGGGGCACACGTGAGGAACACAAATGCGAACAAGCCTGAATGGTCCCCAGGACTATATGCGAATGAAAACTCACACCCCAGAAGTGACTCGAACCCATACTCCCAGAAGCAACGCAACTGGTAACTACAGGGCGCCTTAATCCGCTTGACCATCACGGCCGTCAAAAGGAAGTGATAGCCGAGGCTATTTGAGCCACTTCCCCGACGGCAACTCGGATGGTAATCTTGGGCATAGCATTTCACCAAATCACCTCATTCTTTGGGGCACACGTGAGGAACACAAATGCGAACAAGCCTGAATGGTCCCCAGGACTATATGCGAATGAAAACTCACACCCCAGAAGTGACTCGAACCCATACTCCCAGAAGCAACGCAACTGGTAACTACAGGGCGCCTTAATCCGCTTGACCATCACGGCCGTCAAAAGGAAGTGATAGCCGAGGCTATTTGAGCCACTTCCCCGGCGGCAACTCGGATGGTAATCTTGGGCATAGCATTTCACCAAATCACCTCATTCTTTGGGGCACACGTGAGGAACACAAATGCGAACAAGCCTGAATGGTCCCCAGGACTATATGCGAATGAAAACTCACACCCCAGAAGTGACTCGAACCCATACTCCCAGAAGCAACGCAACTGGTAACTACAGGGCGCCTTAATCCGCTTGACCATCACGGCCGTCAAAAGGAAGTGATAGCCGAGGCTATTTGAGCCACTTCCCCGACGGCAACTCGGATGGTAATCTTGGGCATAGCATTTCACCAAATCACCTCATTCTTTGGGGCACACGTGAGGAACACAAATGCGAACAAGCCTGAATGGTCCCCAGGACTATATGCGAATGAAAACTCACACCCCAGAAGTGACTCGAACCCATACTCCCAGAAGCAACGCAACTGGTAACTACAGGGCGCCTTAATCCGCTTGACCATCACGGCCGTCAAAAGGAAGTGATAGCCGAGGCTATTTGAGCCACTTCCCCGACGGCAACTCGGATGGTAATCTTGGGCATAGCATTTCACCAAATCACCTCATTCTTTGGGGCACACGTGAGGAACACAAATGCGAACAAGCCTGAATGGTCCCCAGGACTATATGCGAATGAAAACTCACACCCCAGAAGTGACTCGAACCCATACTCCCTTTTGACGTCCGTGATGGTCAAGCGGATTAAGCGCCCTGTAGTTACCAGTTGCGTTGCTTCTGGGAGTATGGGTTCGAGTCACTTCTGGGGTATGAGTTTTCATTCGCATATAGTCCTGGGGACCATTCAGGCTTGTTCGCATTTGTGTTCCTCACGTGTGCCCCAAAGAATGAGGTGATTTGGTGAAATGCTATGCCCAAGATTACCATCCGAGTTGCCGTCGGGGAAGTGGCTCAAATAGCCTCGGCTATCACTTCCTTTTGACGGCCGTGATGGTCAAGCGGATAAAGGCGCCCTGTAGTTACCAGTTGCATTGCTTCTGGGAGTATGGGTTCGAGTCACTTCTGGGGTGTGAGTTTTCATTCATATATATATATATATATATATATATATATATATATATATGTCGTACCTAGTAGCCAGAACGCACTTTTTGGCCTACTATTCAAGGCCCGATTTGCCTAATAAGCCTAGTTTTCCTGAATAAATATATTTTCTCTAATTTTTTTCTTATGAAATGATAAAGCTACCCATTTCATTATGTATGAGGTCAATTTTTTTTTATTGGAGTTAAAATTAATGTAGATATATGATTGAACCTAACCAACTCTACCTAACCTAACCTAACCTATCTTTATTGGTTAGGTTAGGTTAGGTGGCCGAAAAAGTTAGGTTAGGTTAGGTTAGGTAGGTTAGGTAGTCAAAAAACAATTAATTCATGAAAACTTGGCTTATTAGGCAAATCGGGCCTTGCATAGTAGGCTGAGAAGTGCGTTCTGGCTACTAGGTACGACATATATATATATATATATATATATATATATATATATATATATATATATATATATATATATATATATATATATATATATATATATATATATATATATATATATATATATATATATATATATATATATATATATATATATATATATATATATTATATATATCGTTTTCAAGTTTTCAAGGAGTACAGTAGCTACTCTGCTTCTCGAAGATGTGTTGAGTCGCGAGAGCTGACTTAACACATTAAGTCATGTTAGGTGTTATTTCTTCTACCTGGATAAACACACACACACTCCTATAGCCCTCCGTTCCTTTTTTCTGTAAGTAGGATTTTATTGTAGAATTTTTCCGTAAGACCACCTTTATTAACACAATACATCCAATATGAATTCTCTCCAGCCAAGTGTTATATCTTTCTGAATGTTCGGTAATCACTTTTTTCAACGTCTCGAAAACCAATTGCAACCACTCCTTCTAGTTTCTCTTCTTGGGAGCCTTGCTCCTGGTGTTATCATTGTTATTCTGTGCAGTATGAGAAAAGTATAAGATATACTTCAAAACATATCCAGTTATACTAAAAACTGGACTGGTGGTTTAGCATCAATAATCTTCTGTTTTACAGATGAAAGTGCACCTCTACAAAAACTTTGCCAAAATGTGATCTACAAGAACAAATTTAGCTTAAACTCCAACAAGTTACTACTCACCTTCGAGTTTCAGGAAAAGCCTTTTCAGATGTTTTCTATGCATTTTATCAAACTATTGTATAAATAGTACAAATATATTTCATTGCAGGTTGCCTGGGACTAAAATAACTTTACATCCTGGTGACCTGGTGACCTTCCCATTCTGGAGTCTGCATCGGGACCCACGCTACTGGCCCGAACCAGAAATCTTCCGGCCTGACCGCTTCCTGCCAGAAAACAAGGCCAACATTGTCAACTTCACTCACATGCCCTTTGGAATGGGGCCCAGAAACTGCATAGGTAAGACGTAAAACATTTATTTGTTTCTTATGAAATTATACGATTTTTTTCATCTGATAGTTATCCTATACCTCTGAAAATACCTAAGGAATCCCATCAGACAAATCAGTTGAAAAATGTGAAATTACTAAAGATCTGCATTTAAATTCAAATATTCTAATTTAATTTTGTATCAACTGGAAATTACAGAAAATTTCATTAAAAAACTGAAACGAGCATAAAGAGCAAAAAATACAATTAATAATTTGATTTAAATATGTCTTTCTACAGCGAAAATTTTACAAAATTATTAGTTCATAAAAAAATTCTGAATTCTTTTGAAATTATGCATTGCGTCTATGAACTTTAAGAAAAACTGAACTTTCACCTCAATTATCATAATACTATTTAGAAAATGCAGTGTGATAATTTTTATTGAAATTTGGAGGAAACTTGCCTAGGTAACCGGGGAGGTAGGTAACCTTCTAGGTAACCTAGGTAACCTCCTCGGCCGACCGGGGAGCCGGTCGGCCGAGCGGGCAGCACGCTGGACTTGTGAACCTGTTTTCCCGGGTTCGATCCCGGGCGCCGGCGAGAAACAATGGGCAGAGTTTCTTTCACCCTATGCCCCTGTTACCGAGCAGTAAAATAGGTACCAGGGTGTTAGCCAGCTGTCACGGGCTGCTTCCTGGGGGTGGAGGCCTGGTCGAGGACCGGGCCGTGGGGACACTAAAAGTCCCGAAATCATCTCAAGATAACCTCAAGATTGGTAATACATATTAAATGTCTAAGAATAGCATTAAGTTATTTGAATTTTCTAGCCAAAGAGTTAGCAGCAATGATCAACAATTTAATTTTTCTAACAAAATAACTTAGTAAATAATGTTCCTATTACTTTTACTTGACTTTTTTATTACTTTTACTTTACTTTTTTATTTAATTTTAAGTTTTCTTAGAAAAAAATGGCTTGCAACTTTACAATATGGCCTAAAGTTGTTTCACTTGCAGTAATTTAAGCAAAAATGTCAATAACACACTTATGATTAATTTGATCTCTTTTTTACATCACATAAATGCCAAGTTGACAATATTTTGGAAGCCCCTTTTAAGTTGCTAGTGGTTAAAGCCCTTTTATTGATATTCAGCCATGCGGTTCGCCCTGATGGAGGCCAAGGTGGCCCTTGCCAAGCTAATATTGGCAGCAGAATTAAGTCTTCAGAATGAACAAGAGGAACTGAAGCTAGCCGTGTCTCCTATCATTTTAAGACCAGCAAAAGGAAGCGTCAATCTTGTCATCAGGCCCGTAGCTGCCAGCCCAAAGAATTAAAGAAACTACAATCTGCCACATGAATCCCACAATTTGAACATATTACAGCGTATGCTAAGTGACTCTCCTTAACAAAAATAACATTTATGTAAACCACGGGGAGAAGTCGTCTCGTGGCTGAAGATAACATGATTCAGATAATCATCTGTTGAGAGAGAGCTCGGCAAACATGCTTTCTCTTCACAAGGGCTGAATTGTTTCATTTATAAATGACAAAATTTTCTTTGTCTTTTCGTATTCATAAATCTAAATTATCTAAGATTTGTCTTTTAGTTTTCTTATTTTTTTTGGACATCTCTGGCTACTTTGATGAATTTTCATTTTGGGAACTCTTCCTAATTTCTAATAAGCATGTTAACATCTTGATTTTTCTCTTAAGGCTTTTTAGTGCTATTGTAATTTATTGTATGGAAAAAATTCCCATTTAATTAAATAGTATGGGATACTTATTCTATTGGTCTCGAATTTGAAATTGAGATATAATACTATATCATAATCTAATGACAGGTCACGATATAATGGAGTCATGTCACATGTCTTGGACAGTCCACTTCTTAGGGTCCAGTCTGCCTTATCAATACTTTCCATGTATTTCAATAACCAATTGTAATCTCCTTTTGAAAACTTGGTGTAATAATATAATTTTATGTTGTTTAACTTTTCCAAGCTATGTTAAACAAAACTTTCGTTATGAACAGTTTTCTAACTTATTCCTATTCCAATATTATTTATTTGTGTCTACCTGTTGATCAGCACCTTGCATTACAGATTGATTTACTTGGGCAAACTGCCTTTACCTGTTCTTGGCACAGTGAAATCTGCTGTAATTAAAGTCATCTTTAACATAAACATTTTAGGACCAAGATGCAGCTCATCTTTTTCCTAATATGATGTCCAATCCTTGTGCAGAGATTATTATTATTTTCATTCAGATCAACCCAATTTATTCTGTGAGTTTAGTTCATTTCATTCTTGATTCCCTGTGTGGCCCCGAGTAATATTTTTTTTTACAAATACTGCTACTTTCCCTCGTCATCAAATTTGTTTATGTGAGGAACAGTTTCCTTTATTTAAAATCCTTAATTAAAACAGGGTCCTTTAATTAAATATTATTATTTTTTTTCAATAAAATCTATTGTTTTTGTTCTGAGAGCTGCCAAAAAAAATCTGTATTTTGAAAAAAAAAACAAGAAACAGTGGAAGGGCAATGAACTTTGTGTTGTATTTCCATTTTTTTATATCCAAAACAACCACTCATGCGATTGCTGAGTCTTTCATAAACCAACCCACTAAGCCAGAGTCTCTTATGTTGACCTACATGACCTACAATACTCTTCACCCTTTTTAAAAAATATAATTATGCTTTATGAGATCTTTCTTTTATTAGAAGGTTAAATACACCCGCAACTGACCTTGAAACCATTTTCTATACAGTTTCAAAGAAAACTGAACATTCTTTACTGTGGTGCTTATGACTGACCTACACACATTAAACTCAGCCTGCGAGGAGCAAGATTAAGCTGAAGAATTACATCATTTGTCAATAAATAATACTTCTTGCCAGTAAGCTTTATAACATATTCTTTAACTATTTATTCAAACATGTATGCACTGAAATTTTTATCTAATTTTCCTTCTAATCATGATACCCAAGGCTCAGTTTCAGAAAGTAGTTACGGAAGAACGTAGGAAAGTTTTCGTTATTACCATTATCGTTACAGCTACGTCGGGATTCAGAAAGGCATTTAAGAACACTGATCCTGTTAAGAACACCGCCTCAAGCTACGACACCTCCAGACCAGTCATAGCTTTACTTAAACTGTATATAATTAGTTTGACTCTACTACACAAACCCGAGGATCAAAATTTAGTAATAAACAAAATATTTCTGCTGGTGCGTCCCATCAAGAAGAAGTCCTTCATATTAGCTATGTATATGCGTTCTTTGCTTATACTTGTAATAAATATGTCTTTTTATTAAATTATAATTATATATATCATATCAAGATATTATTCCTGTAGTTATTCAGTAAATAAACACTGGTGAACTTGATATATGAGAGAAGATGATGATTCCGGTTGGAACAGGATTACTTGAAAGCATTTGCTATCACCTAATGATTCAGTTCACATAGCAGTAAGTATAGCAACCCAGGAGTTAATCAGTTTATTGTGAGGCTGCATCCTGTTTAGGGGGGGGGAGGAACCTCAATACAGCTCAAACATGTATATAATTATTAATAATAATTCATTATTTTAGGAACAAGCATCCAGAGTGTATACATAAACATTTTAGGCTTATATCAAGGCTCAGCAAAACATGTGTGTTGCTGAGCCAACCTTCCCCTGTCTCCCAGTCCTCCCCACTTCCCCCCCCCCCCCTCCCTGTTCCCTTGTCCTCTCAACCATTCCTCACTCCTCCGTCCACTCGCCCTCCCAACCATTCCCGACTCCCTTTCCTGATGCATTCCCAAATGATCTGATGTTCCCATAAAAAATTGGGAAGATCAAATGATCTGATGTTCCCACCACTGAAATGTAAGAAAAACTGTTAAAAACGAAATGATGAAAATGAGAAAATAAAAAAAATAACTATACTCGTGAAATGAACGGTATTATAAACTACACAGTTAAATTCCAACGCAATGTCACACAAAATATTTAAATGAAAATAAAAACAAATCGAAATCTATGAAAATTAAATTTATCAATGATATCGGAAAGATTGAAATGGAATCGTAACATCACACACAGAAATCACAATAGCGTTATGCATCAAATGAACAAATCCGCAAGGGCCCTGACGAGGATTTGAACCTACATCCGAGATTAAGGCAGTGTCTGGGATGCTCTCAGATTTAGGTTCGAATCCTCGTCACGGCCCTTGTTGATTTGTTCATTGAATCGTAAGATACTTAGTATAGCATGTGTTGCTCTTACATGCAACAGATGGCACTGATTTAAAAAAAAAATGTTTTTACCTGTCAAGGGTGTGGCATCTATATAGCAGATATACAAAAACACCCGCGTATTCGAAAGGTACGTTGTGACAGAATTTCAAAGCATTGGGTGAAGAACTTTCAGAAATTACAACGAATGTTGCTTTTACATCCAACACATGGCGCTGTTTTAAAAAAACAAAAACGTTTTTTCCTGTCACACGTGAAGCATGTATATAGTAGGTACATAAAATAAGTCTGTACGTACAGACTGGCGAAACGACTCAACGGCATGCTGACTCCATATGTCCCTTGTGCCTTCAGCCTGAAGTCTCCAAAGGAATTTGTTGACTTACTGCAGGGAACATGGACCACAGGGATAGGAGCCTCGTTGGACGTAGAATCACTGTTTACCAACGTACCTGTGGATGAGACAATCGGGATGATAGCGGACAGAGTGTATCGTGATCCGGCCTGTACTCCTCTTGACGTACCAGAAAACATTCTAAGGAAACTACTCCAAGCTTGTACCAAAGAGGCACCCTTCTTGAGCCCGGATGGGCACATGTATAAGCAAGTAGATGGGGTCGCCATGGGTTCTCCCCTAGGTGTCCTGTTTGCAAACTTCTACATGGGTACCATCGAGCAAAAAGTCTTAGTCGATATGAACTTGAAAATGGCCATATACTGCAGGTATGTTGACAACATTTTTACACAGGTGTCTGATGTCAGACATCTGCAGGAACTGAAGGAGGCATTTGAGCAGAATTCTGTGTTGCGTTTCACTTACGAGATGGAGAAGGATGGAAAGCTGCCCTTTCTAGATGTAACAGTCATGGAAAGGAGCGGAGGTTTCCACACTGCAGTCTACACTAAGGAAACAAACATAGGAATGTGCCTCAATGCCAACAGTGACTGCCCAGACAGGTACAAGAGGAGTGCTGTTAACGCTTATGTCGACCGTGCTCTCAGCCACAGCTCAGGATGGAAGCAAGTCGATGAAGAACTATGTAGGGTAAGGCAGGTCCTAGTCAACAACGCCTTCTTCAATGGTTTTGTTGAAGACATCATAAGAAGGAAAGTGAAACGCCATGCAACCTCTGAAGAGACAACTAACACAACACCTATACCCTCTATTAGACTATTTTACAGGAACTTCTTTTCCACGGCTCATAAAACGGAGGAAAGGGTCCTGAAAGATATTGTTAATAGAAACGTTATCCCTACAGACAAAAATCAGAAGATACAACTGACGATTTACTATAAAACCAAAAAAACGGCCAGCCTACTCATGAGAAACTCTCCAGACACAAAGCAGAACGCTTTTAAAGAGATCAACGTCGTCTATGCCTTCAAATGCCCCCTTGGGGACTGTAAGCCTCAAAAAACTCAGTATATAGGCTAGACAACAACATCTCTTTCCAGGCGTTTAACGATGCATAAGCAACAGGGCTCCATTAAGGAACATATAATCTCTTCCCACAACCAAGCCATCACCAGAGAAATCTTAACAAACAACGCAGAAATCATCGATAAATACAGCGATAGCAGGCGGCTTGACATCTGTGAGGAACTACACATCAAGAAGTCAACACCAGCAATCATCAGCCAATTAATGCACAACTATATTCTACCCACTTCAAGACTCCGCTCCAATATAGAAGCATCAAGAAATATGGGCCAATAGGCCCTCTGCAATTACTTCCATTCTTACCTTCAATACCCATTATTTCGTTTTATGTCTTGTGTTAAAAGTTTGTTTTCACCTCATCCACAACTGTTGCAACACATCACCTCACCCAAAATACGGGTATAAAACGAAAAATGAAAGCTGTTTAAACTATTGCATAAGTAAGAACTCTGTTTAGTGTTTGCAGGTAATAGTTGTGTGTGTGTAAACTAAAAGTCTTTGAAAATGTAATAAGTTATTACGAAACGCGTTCAAGTGTCGCGTCAGACTAGAAATAAAAATGAATTTTGGAGAATTGATTTTTCAATTACCATCAACAGTGAAAAGAAACATAAGTAAGATCGAGAAAATTCGTGTTAGAATTGTTAATCTTACTTTTTCGGCCATATTTAATATATATATATATATATATATATATATATATATATATATATATATATATATATATATATATAATATATATATATATATATATATATATATATATATATAAATTTGTTAGGGTACCACCTCTGGTGCCAATGTGGGGACCCATAGCCTCGGAGAAGAAAATAAAAAGTATTCAGAGGAAACCTTGTGGTTTCTCACTGAACACTAATATTACCTTCTCCTACCACCCCCATTCTTTTGTATGTACACATATATATTTGCTTTATTTGAACTTTGTTACAAAAAAGTAGTTACATATAGGTTACAAAGATGGTTATCATAGGTTGTCGAGTTCCTCCAGCTCCTCAGATGGCGGGCAGGAACCCTGGATGCAGTGTGCATTTTCCCTCTGTATCGCCACGCTGAGGCGCTGGAAAAGAAAGCTGGCAGCTCTAGGGTCCCTTGTTGTTTCAATAAGCCTAGAACCCAGTTCCTTCAAAAAACTGGTAGCACTTTTACCCCAGGCGCCGAGTGTCTCAGAAGCAATGTTGACAAAATTGTAGTGGTGATCCAGTTCTCTATACTTACGGGATTTGGCTGCTTCCCTGTGGGTGGCAGCGCCACCTGGTTGTGCAACACTGAGGTCAATGTAGGTGTTAGCCAGGGTTGATACGCACGTGTAGTCCCATACCAACTGCTTGCCATTCTTCCAGGGGTTCACTGTGATACCATCCGGGCGACCAATAAAAGCATCAGAGTTACGGGGCGTTAGATAACGGGGCTCTCTTTCAGCTGGGCATCCAGCTGTGGTGAGGCTATTCTTGATGGTGTCATTAACTTCACTGTGCCTCGAGTGCCATCCCCCTGGGCTTTGGCAGAGTAGGCCATGGTGGCAGTACCTGTCAGCCACCACCTCGCCGCAAATACACCTATATCTGGTGTGGATTGGGGCAGCAAGGCGAAGGGCCACAGCAATTCGGAGGGCGTGTGGTGTGAGACGCGTGCCAGATGCCGACATTGGGGTTGCTAACAGGAAATCCCATGCATGTGGTGCTTCTACTGCTGTGAGGCGAGCAATGTTGTGTTGTGTTGTTGCAGCACCCAGGCACTTTGCAGCAACTTGATCTACAATGGGGCCATCCCAGCTGGATTGCTTGTGGGCTTTTGGGGATGGTGGTTGAGGTGATGGGCCTGCACGAGAGGCCCACTCTGTGGCACAGCGTGTAAAATTGGGATCATGTACACCTGCCAGCTGATGTAAGTGGGCAGGTAGAATTTCCTTCACAAGGTCGTCAGATGCTGATAAGGAGGACAGGAAGGCTGGAACAGCTATTTGCGTTGCTGTTCGAACTCCGAGGCCCCCAAGTCTTAC